TTTTTTTTTTTTTTTTTTGAAATATCAACATATGTTGAAAAATGTCTGACTAAAACTGTCAAAAGGGTTTATCACACCCCTCTCAAAACATCTAGTGTTATGAAAAATTTATTTGATGAAAGTGTTTTTATCACTTTCAGATAAATAACTAAATAACACAATTAATAATAATCTTCGCATAATATCGCGGTACATTAGCTGGCATCGGAAACACGATGTGTCTTCGGATATCAAAAAGTTGGCAGCACTGATGGCCACGGTACGCGGTGTGGATCAGTTCGTCGAGTCCGGTTATGCGACACGCCGGTGGTGTATATCCTCGACGTCGTCAGTTTGACGGCGGGAAGAAGATTCAACTTATCATTTCCGGTGGGTCGGGCGCGCGACAATTGCCGCACTTGGCACCGTGGCGTACAGCACGCGGTGTTGGTCAGTCAAACTACCAAATACCCATAGTTGGGTGACGTCTGATAATTGTGGCGCAGGTCGCGGAGCACCGTGTCGAGAGTGATTGTTTAACTATTGACATACACAGTATCTTTAGAACTGCAAAACAAAATGTAATTTTTTCTTTTCAAAAATTAGTAGTATCCTACGTTTTATTATTTACAGAAAACAATTTAATCTTATCTATCTTCAACCTTGTCTTAAAAATTAATCAACTTTGGTTTTTTTAATTGGAAACATATACTTTACCAACTTGCAAAGTAGAAAATACTATATCTAAGAAAAATTTTAATCAATAAAATAACTTTTGGGCTAAAATTTTAAAATATATGATCATTTTTATAATATGACGGGAGAAATAGTGTGGTTTTATTCACCTAGAGATAAAAATAAATAGACCCGAGCTTTACTTACAACTTGTATTATAAAGAGTTCATAACTTTCAAAATTTTGGTCTAAAAATTGTTATTTACCAGTCAGTTCCTTAAATAGATAATTTTCCAGTTTGTAATTTAGTTAAACATGTATTTATATCCGTTGAAAAACTAAACACATGATTTCACATTCAAATAATGTTACTCGTATAGTCTTTATGATATTCCAATGTTACTTCAATAATACAGAGCAGTGATTCTATAAAACATGCTATGTACAGTGAGATCGCATTAATAAAGATGGACTTATTCTCCTCTACCACATATAAATGTAGATTTTTTTGAATTAAACAATAATTTCCTTTACGAAAATTAAAATTTTTCAAAAACTTCTATAGTATAGTATCTTATCCTTAATGAATAACTCTAAATAAAAGTAATTTTTAATACCAATAAAAAACAGTTTGTAAGATAAAGGTAGATTTTATTTACCGTACATTCGCTTTAGATTAGAACTGTCCCATATATAATGAAATGAACAAGAAGAAAACTAAAACTATTGTATACATTCTAAAAATTATACTTTGACGTTATAATAATTTGCTCTAATTTTTTTTTTATGTAATAAATGATCCATTGCAGTGGCATACACAGAAATTTTTAATAAAATAGCTTAATACTAATTTAAGTAATATAAAATTTTGACAATTTTTATTCTATGATGATTATTTATCTACTATGTATGTTTAAGTCGACTAAAGCAATCTATATAGCTCTTAAAGTAATAGTGTTATATTATGCGATGATTGAATAATTATCCAACATGATATCATCAACGTAATGTCGTTAAGTTCATTTTATCAATCAGGCATTTTTAAGACTTTGTTATCTGATATTCAAAACATTTTTAATATACCTAAAAATGTTATATTACCATAATTTAGTTAATAAATATATTTGAAAGAGTCAGTGACTCCAAAAAAGTGTTGCCACGTAAATGACCCCCTTTAGACACCCTAATATTCGATTGCTCTCAATGTGAGTGAATATACAATTATAAAATTACTCATACTTCAATTACATTTTCAGTTTACATGACACGCATTTTTATTTAAACAGACGAATGAGATGAAGTGAAATAAGCAATAATAAACAAAACAAACATCGCTTTTGATAGGATAAAATCACGTATAAATTAAACAAAAATTATAATTTATTTAATGATGAATTAACCGCAACAACGAGTACACATATAATTTAATTTTAGAATTTTTATTATTTCAAAGTACAAATCATACACGTATAAAACCTACAATTTTATATCTAATTTTTAATGTATAAGAAGTAGTTAATCCTAATACTTTCTATAAAGATTATTTACTCATACGTTCAAATTCCATGTAAGTATCTATACATTTACATAGATATTTTGACAACAAATGCTTTGATAAATTAATTAATTTTTGATTAAGTTTAAAAATGGATAGCTTCTAAAATTCTATTTACTGCGTAGTTCAGAAAAAATATTAATTACATTATTTAAAAAAATATATATTTAATAATATGTATATGTTTTATAGAAATTAATTTACCATGAACATCATTTTATTACTTTTTTATTTGCTTACATTATAATTTGAGTAATTATTTATTAAGCAAGTAATTTTAGTAAAAGTTCTATGTTGATTTTTCAAAAAGTAATAAATCATTTTCGAATTTTAAAACATATTTAAACTTATCTCTTCATTTTTTAATTTATTGGATATAAGATGACTTGTGAAATTTTTTTTATGTTATGTTTTAATTCTTATAATGCTATAAAATTTAATTATAGTACTATAAAACCTCTTAAAGAAATTGAAAATTTAGGTTATATAATTATACTAGGGAGATTCAATATAACAATAAAATTAAATAAGTTAAATTAAAGTAAAAATGTATCATACATTTTCTATCTTCAGAATATTTTTGAATATCAAAGGCCGACTGTTCTTCGATTCCACTACTCAAAATTCAATTTAAACTTCAAAAATAAATACGAAGGGAATACCTCATAACATATATTTTTAATTTATTGAAATATTATAATTGATTTTGAAGTTCAACTTTTTTTACGCATTTTAGTAATAATCAACTTTAAAAAACTAAATTAAAAGGTTAAATACAATGTTTTTTTACAGATTGATTTTAACAGATTAAAAATTAGAATAATTAATTGTTTGTGAACAAAATAATTTCTTTTATGTGTATATACTTGTTTCTTAGTAATTAGCAATTATCTCAAAAAATATAGATGATAGAAAATCTAATTACAGAATTATAATCAGCAAAAAAAATTGGTTTAGAAAAGTATATTTCGTCTCTGATGATAATTCTTTGTTGACCGACGTAATGCTACATTTTTAAAAATTTAATTGACTCAAGGATTTTATCACCTTAATTTTTTATAGAATACTAAACTTATTTATTTTAGGAAATCAATCTACTTAGTATATTATAACAATTTTTAGTCTAGACTAAATCTCTAATAATTTTAAATATGTGTATTTTTTTAATTAATTAATGAAAAAAAGAAAAAAAAAATTATCTTTATTCTGCTTCAAAAATCTTTTTTCAAAATTTTAAAATATTCTTTTTAACATGTTTTTATGTTGCCTTCTAAAATATATTTAAAATTTAAAATCACAATGTTTTAACTATCACAAATTTTTTCAACATTTATTTAATGATAACATTATATAGATTTTGTTTAAAAAAAACTGTCATACTTTAACATAAATATACTGTATGAAATGTTTAAATTGTCTCATAAAACCGATTTTATTTTTAAATTGTTGGTGTTTTAAACACGTACATAACACTGTTTAAGATAATGCATGTTTAAAACGTACAATCCTGCAAATAATCAGTAGCGGTAGGTAATGATAACGATATTTTAGTAAAATAAAGTTAAAATAAATTAATTTTGTTATTCTAATTAATATTATATTATTATAATAAAATCGAAAAGAAATAACTACAAGTCCCTTTTTAAATAACGTATGTTACGCACTTACATACATACATAAAGATATGACCGATGATAATGTTAATCACAGACTGATTGGCGGCCGCCAGACTCGATTCGTATTAATGTCAATGGCGGCGGTCGCCGATAAGCGATAAGGCATCTCGGATTTGGTTAATGTGCAGTTTAGGGAAACACAGCACGGCCATTACCATGTTGATCCACTTTTACTCTACAATTTAAATTATACACCTTCCTTATAACGAATTCCTAAAAACACCTCAGAAGAGGTACCCTGACTTGGTAATTACTTAATTGTCTAAACAATACTAATTGAGCCCTGAGATTCCAAGTCAAGTTGACAACTAGTTAGGCTTATTTAAATTTTTACAAACATTCTGCACCAAATTATTTAGATTAAGTCAATTTTATAGCTATACGTTAATAATGCCAATATTTTTGCTGATTTAAAGGCCATATAGTACCTACTAAAATGATGTTGGCTATTACACTTTTATGTTTGGGTACAATAGCAAGTTTACAGTCCGAATTTCCTCCTTCTAATATAGCTTATCCTGACATATTATTTGGTTCAAAAACTCCTTACTTCGTAGCACAAGGAGACGATTTAAACAAACTTCAAGGTAAGTAAAATAATGATATAATTGACTTGGCCAAATAAGTCATTGTTATATATAAAAAAATATGCTATTATATTATGTTAATATTTTCCTAAAGATCACGAAATCATTCAAATATTTGGAATATTTCGTCATGGAACTAGAAATCCTTCAGAAGACGATAACAATGATATGAAAGTATTAAATAATATAAAAAAAAATATAGGATCAAAAGCTAAAATTAGTTCAAATGATAGGCAAGCAATTAAAAATTGGGTAAATTTAGCTGAGAAAAATAAAAATTTAATTGACCAAGGAAAGATTGATATGGAACACTTAGCGACAAGACTACGCAATAATTTCCCAAGTATTTTTACAAATAAATTCAACTCTGCAATACACAAAGTAATTAAAAATGTTTAGTATATAGTAGGGTAGACCGGAAACAAAAGTAACACGGGTCACTTGTAACAAGCTGAATATTTTCTCCCATGAAGAATCCTTCGTGCGAGTGTCATGTTGCAGAGTTATAGTCATTATCTTTTGTTATCGGCTTGACTTAATTGTATTTTATTAATTAATAAATAAGAAAAAATCGATTTTGACGAACATAAATAATTTTTTTTTTACTGTGTACATTAGTGCTCGTTGATATTTCATTAAACATAAGAAAATGACAGTTTAATTTTCATTCATTATAAATGAAATTAAGAGATGTTTTACATTTTTATTTAAAGTATGTTACAATCAACACAGGATTAGAGTCTGTTGTATTACTTTTTTTTCAATTAAAATTATTTGTAGTTTTATTTTTCATTTAAGCAATAATTTTGACATCATTCAATAAGCATTATGTTATTATATCAAATAAAAGGTTAAAAATAAATAATGTGTAAAGTATTTTCTTAAAAAAGCCATAAAGTGCAAAATTTTATTTTTGTTCCCGGTCTATCAACTGCTCATGAAATATTTTAGAGATCAAAGAATTAAATTTTATAAAAAAATCCAATAAATAATTGTCACAAAAACACAAAACGAGTTTGTTTTTATTTCTGTGGACTTTTTTAAATTTACATAATATTTTATCAATTGATAACTAAAATATCTTTTGGTCTTGTTAATATTATTATAATGTTATCTGAAGGTTCTATCATCAAATGAGGAACGTGCAAAAGATAGCGCCGTATATTTTTTACAAAATGCTTTTCCTGATACGAAAATTAAAAAAAAAAATGTACCAGCATGGGAAGATAATGATGTTACATTAAATGTAAGTAGTAGATCATAATAATAGTTCTATAACAGATAACATTAAATTCTTTCTTTATTTAGATTGACAAATTAAGAGAAAAACTTAGACAAAATAAAAATAAAAATAATCCTGATAGTGAAGTCAATAAATTTCTAAATGGTGATAAAATGAAAAAAACAATTATAAACGTTACAGAATTATTAAATTATAATTCAACATTTAACTATAGTAATTGATTTTTAAAAATTATTTTAATTCGAAATTAATCTTATAAAACTGAATTTTTAATGTTTTTAAATGTCTTTTTAATTTTCAGAGGATGTAAAAGCAATGTACGAAGCATGTAGACATGATTATACACGCAATATAGAAATGTCTATGGTAATAACAATAATTAATTAAATTTAATACAACCATAGAGATAAAGTTATTTTACTTTGGTAGAGGAAAAATATTCATCATCAATAAAATTTAGGACGGGCTTTAGAGCTAAGCTGTCCCCTTCAAAATGCAGAATATGATATAAATGAGATATAAAATGTTTATAGCTAATTATTATTGGCTACGCAATTTTCTTTTCTAACTCAACCTACGTTATCTATTTTTAGAAATTTCTTATTTTGAAAATGACTTGACTTTCAAAATAAATTATTACTACTAAAGACTACATTATATTATTGTTTTCAACAATTTAAATGTATTGAACAAAAATCACTTTTACTTCTTAAATTAATAACGACACAAAATAGAAATAGATAATATTTTTAGAAATATACATGTAAAGTGGTAATTTTAAAGTTTAATTAAATTAATTATAAATTAGTAATAGTATTAATTTTACTATGTGTTTTTTTTTAATTTTAATTTTTTTTTTGTGTCTGTGAACGCTCAGTCTCAGCTATTGCTGAACCGATTTTGATGAACAATACGTCAAAAGATCACAAATCGTATTTAGACGAACGCATTACACTCAAAAATTGAAAACAATTCCTACGTTCCTCGTAAACGGGGGAAATCCCCCAAAAAATTACAAATTTTCGACATTTTTAAAATTTTTTTTTACTTAAAGCTACCATTACGTTTTTAAATGTAATCAATATAATTTTTTTTATAGAGACCTTAGGTATTTACTTATCATTTAATATATTTTTGTGAACATTTGACTCTTTACCAGCCCACAGAAAGGGATTTAAAATGGCAACTTTTTCAATTTTTTTTTTGAAAGTGTTCCGGAAATACTGACACATATCTTAAATTAAATTAATTTTTTTTTTATGCTTATTACACTTTAATGGTAACCATATTTTCCATTGGGAGGAAAATGTTTGAAAATATTCCGGAAATAATGAAACTTTTATATATATATAACATAAATAAAAACTTATGTAATATACTTTAATTTGAAAAAAAAAAATTTAACCTCTGGATTTGTCTTCCTGATGAAAATGACTACTGTATTCAAAAACATGCTACTTTTATGTTAAAATTCTGGGTTTTGTATTTTATTTTAAAATATCTAACAAGGGGAGTACATTGATTTTCATAAATATTATATAAATCAAATTGATATAGCATNTTTTAAAATATCTAACAAGGAGAGTACATTGATTTTCATAAATATTATATAAATCAAATTGATATAGCATAGAAATTTACACTTATTTATATTTTTTTGCTTTTNAAATATCTAACAAGGGGAGTACATTGATTTTCATAAATATTATATAAATCAAATTGATATAGCATAGAAATTTACACTTATTTATATTTTTTTGCTTTTTTTAAGTCGAGAAAAACAACTTTATAATTTGAACTCGCGTAAATTGCCATTTTTTCAGTCGTCGAAAGTGACGTACGGTTGCCGAGTCGCTAACACTTGTGTCCTACGCGTATGGGGTACAAGGTTCCAACCAGCGTATGCCAAGGAATTTCTTGCATTTCTTTCTTAATTCTTTTTAAGTTCAAATAAATTTAAGTTAGAACTCATTTAATTTTCATCTCATTTAGATTCAATAACTACAATAAAGATCAAGAATCCCATCACTGTAGTCGCCCTTCGTGAGAAGAAATTTCTTATTCATATTAAAATTATTTTACTATATTTTAGGTTTTAGCTTCGATATAAAGCTGAGAAGGTATTTTTTCGTGACTATCATTTATTTTCTTTGCTCTAACTTGATCTACATTTTTCAACGATACGTCAAATGATTACAATTCGTATCTAGTTGAAGATATTACCCTTAAAAATTGAAAAAAAATTTTAATTTATCAATTAAACAGTTACATATCCCATGTTCTCCATACAGACAGTTAAAATCATTCATTTATAATGTTTTCAAAATATTTATTAAAGAATCATGTTCGATATGATATGTTTCAATTACAAAATTAAATCATTTTACTTTGTAATTCAATAATTTGTTTACTCTATTTGTGTGTGCTACTACTAGACTATAATATTCCAAATTTTTAGGTAACATGTTGCTATATAAATAATTTCTAAAAATAGTAATTATAATATTTGCTGATGTATTTTAATCTTAACGATACAATTTTTTAATTCTCATAATATTGTCTATTTAATGATTTCAATTTTAAACTTGCAAGTTGAGCTAAAAATTATAGTAATTCATTTTTTTTTTTACTATAAACTTTCAGAAAAATCAACTTTTAAGGATTAAATATGTGTCATTTTCCTTATTTTTAACATATTAAAAATCAAAATCGGTATTAATTTTTTTTTCTTAATTATTTTTTTATGTGTTATTACTTATTTTGTAATAATAAGTAATAATATTAAAAGTTAGAAGTAATAGAAAAAGTTTAATTGCACATTTGAAAACATCACGAAAAGTTTATTTAGAAAAGTATATTTTTTTNGTGATACTAAATGTCTAATTGTACATTTGAAAACAACGCGAAAAGTATATTTTTGTTACTGATGAAAGTTCTTTGTAGTCCAGTGTATAAAACTTATAACTGAGTTATAAGTAACAAAAATTTTTTAATGAAAAGTATTGCCTCAAGCCCTTTAACTTTTTATACGCATTAAAAGTAAAGAAATATACAACTACTTTATTATTTTTATAATATCTTCATAAAAATTACAATATTCAATTATTGAATGTCAATTTCATACTAAATTTAATTTATATAGTTATTATTTATTCATATATTATAATTATAAATCAAATAACTAATCGGAAAAAGAGTTATTTTTGTTTATGAAATAATCTACCAATTTCTTAAAATTAAATAGTATATACAGATTTGCATCGAAAAGTTTCTTACGATAGTGATTTTAATCATTGTTCGATATCATCTGTATTTGTCCCAACTATACCACGTCCATACTGTTCCGCGATCCCATTGTGCTACCATTTTTATTTTTGTATATCACTTATTCAGATGAAGAGAAGCCCCATCAAAATTTTTTTTTGTGTCCTGGTCAGTCAGCAATTTCCTATTGAAAAGTGTAAATAAAATAAAAATTAATAGCATACAGGATGGTGATAAAGTTATATGAATTTCATAATTTATCAATTATAAATGTTCATTTTAATTTCTACTATTATCCCATTTTTTTTTAAATTACGATATGCAAACAAAATAATTAAATCCTATAAGTTACCTTTATATTCAGTGTATTATTATATCCTTGTTGAGTTTGCAACAATGAGTAGCTCAGTAGTTTAATAAATTTCAATTAAGTCAAAAAAAAAATAAAAAAGTCCCAGAGAGTGGCGTCACGATATAAGTTGGTGCAAAGGAATTTCGATTTTTTCTAGAATTTCTTTTTTGAATTGTCTCAAATTTATAGGTTGTTTTCTAAAGAGAGAAATGGTAACTTAAGACAAATATTTTGATTGATTTATTTTAGTTAGACTTTGTTAAACTAATTAGATTGATATTCCTTGTAGTAATCTATAAAAGGAATTAATTTGTTTAAATATTTTATACAGATCCTGATGTTCCCATTTGAGATTCCCTGTAGGTACCGTTTATTAAGCATCTTTGTTTTACAAGTGCACTGTAATAGATGATGCAAAAATTTCTATATGTTGGTATAATATAATATAGACGTTAATTTTATTCAAAAGTAATGTAATTTTAACTTAAAGTATCGAAAATTCGAACACTAATATAACAATTTTTTCACTATTTATCAAAGTTTTCTCCTACTTTTATTCATTAAAAACTTCCAATACATGTATACGAAAAATCGGAAATTTTTTTAAGTGTTGAGGATACAGTGTTGTTATATATTAATATTTAGAACATTATTTTTGATTTAATAATGATTTTATGTATTATGAAATAAATATAATATAATAATTGTATTATATATTATTTCCTCAGTCATGAATAGTTAAAGGCAGATAACAAATTGATGGGATAGAAGCTATGGGATAATGATATATTACTAATAATTCAATTCAGAACTGAGATATTTTGTGATAGCTTATGTTTTGTTCTTGTATTAATTAAATAATTTAATATTTTTAGAATTCAAAACCTGCATGGTGTAGAGTATTTACAAAAGATGATTTACTGGTAAATATCACTATAGTAATATTATTTTTTTCATTAATATACATTTCCTCATTATGCTCGAATAAGAGGTAAATTAGGGATGTGAATACTGTAGAGTTAATAAATATAATAAATCATCGTGCAAACCTGAATTCTTAAAGTATAGTTTTCCTAAATTTTAGTATTGCTAATAATTTTAAATCATTAGTGCCGAGTAACGGGGGAAATAATTTCAACACTGCGATATTACCTGAAAATATTATAGGAGTGATGAGGAAAGAAAGATTTTAAATTTATAATTCTATTTTTAAATAACAATACGAATTATTTAAATGTTAAAAATAGTAAATAATATTTAATTCATTTTATTGGTTAAAGTTGATTAATTTGTTTAGTCGTCAATGAAATTTTTAAATCATTATCCTATTAATAAGTGAATTTTTAATAGAATTTAGAATACTTAGATGATCTTATTTGGAATGAGAAGTTTGGATACAATAGTCATTATGGTGACAAATTAGGTTGTCCTTTAATAATGCGAATTAAGATGAGTTTCGAGTAAATATAAAAAATATTTTTATTCACTTACATTTTTAAGATTAGAATAATAATTTTTTTTTTTTAATTTTAGAGCTGCAATATCAAATCCAACTGTCAAAGCTGTATTAAACTTTGGACACAGATCAAATCTTTTTCCAACTTTTACTATGTTAGGTCTAGCGTATGATGAAACGCGTCTTTCTGCTGATAACATGGATAATATGTCTAATAGACGTTGGAGAACTTCATTTTTAAATCCCTTTTCTGCAAATACCATATTAATTTTATCCAAATTCAATAATAAATTCTACGTGTCAGTGTTTGTCAATGAAAATATAGTTGATTTGACAATAGAAAATAATAAAACGTGCGAAATTTGTGAATGGTCTCAATTCGAAAAAAAACTCAACAATTTTATATTAAAACATAACAGTAATAATCATGAAAACAATGGTTGTAATTTTGGTTTCAATATAACACTTCCTTAGAATAATATCATTAAAAGTAAATTATTTTATTTTTTATTTGAGAATTAAACTAAACAACTTAGCACAATATAATTGAACCCTAGTTCGAATACCAAGACCGATGCGTTTCTAACTGAGTTACATTGATAATGTTATTTAAGCAATAATAATAATATACTTAAGTACTAATTATTTTTATTAAATAATTTATGAATTTTGTATAGTTTTTCTTTTGTAAAATTTAATAATATATAAAATAATATAAATGTTTTGATAAATAAAGTTCTAATATCTTTCATGTAACTCAATATTTTAAATTACTATTAACTATCGTTGACAAACTTAGTAAACTAAAAAAATAATTCCTAAACTATTTCAAGAAGTGAAATGATTACAACAAGCTATTGTTATAAAAATTTCTATATTTAAAATTCACTTTGCAACAAATCAAACTGATTTAGTTAAATATACCCGAAACTAAGAGAAAAATAACATTTTTTCATGTCTTCTTAATCTATGAAAAGGTTTTCTCTCATTTTTATATTTTTCGTTATAAATACATTCCAACAAAATATTTAATTTTAGTAATATATTGTGAATTATGTACATTTGAAGTATTATAAATAAATCCAATAGTTTTAAAATATTTAAACGATTTTAAAAGCTTTAAGAAAATAATTAAGACAGTAGATAAAAAAATACTTTAATTACTAACATGTATTTCAAAATAACATCCTGGTATAATTTTAAAATATGTATTTATCTATATAACTATTTAACTCTTAGTGGATCAATTTATCTAAAAAATATACCGTATGATTACACAATAAAATTATTTTAGACTATCGTCGCAAAAATTTATTGAATTCAACTCAATCATTCTAATTAAAAGTAATCTTTAAAAATTAATTATTGATAAAGACTAATTGAAACCTTGAGATGGGCCCCCTCAATGGAAAGTATCGCTACCATAAAAGAGTGATAAGCATAAATAAAAAATTAATTTAATTTAAAATATGTGTCAGTATTTCCGGAACACTTTCAAAAATTAAATTGAAAAAGTTAATTTTTTGTGAAAAAGTTATCATCTTGAATTCCCCACTGTTGTCTGGTGAAATATTTACAAAAAAAATATACCAAATGATAAGTAAATACCTAATGTATCTTTTAAAAAAAAATTATTTCTATTTATCTATTTTTCAAAAATGTATGGTAGTTTTAAGTAAAAAAAATTGAAAAAATGTCAAAAATTAGCAGTTTTTAAATTAACAGGGAACAAGCAAATTTTTTTCAATTTTTGAGGTAATATATTCGACTATATACGATCTTTTGACGTAACATTGAAAGAAATCGGTTTGGTGATAACTGAGAAAAAGTGGTAACAGATACAAAAAAAACATATCATAGTAAAAAAATATCTTCTCAGCTTCGCATCGAAGCTAAAATGCATAATTATTTGTTTTTATATTTTATAATAATAGCTAACATTTTTTCTCAATTTTACTTTGTAAAAATCTCCCGTATTTCATTATACTTATATGGAATTCAGTTAAATCTATAATAATAGACTAAATATAAACATTTACCTATTAAATGGATTAGAATTACTCAATTATTATTAATAAAAACTAAATATGATTTATTAATGAATTTTAAAATAGAGTTGTTTTAGCTTAAAACGACATAAATTATACAGAAACAAAAGCGCTGATAAATATAACATAAATCGCTATTGATTTAGAAATATCTTTATCGAGATATGTCAATGTTTTTCTAACGTTAATTCGTTACACAGTATACTGTGTAAATAATAAATTGAAAATTTATAAAACATATTTTACCGTAATGAATTATAAAATTAAGCCTAAAAATAATAACTTAATTTTAATTTCAAATGATCATCAGATATTAATATGGAGTTTGTAATTATTTAAAATTTGTCAATATCAGAAAAATTTCAAAAAACATATCTTATCATTTTGAATAAAATAAAGAACATTACTTGACTTGTAATAAATAATAACCAAAGACATCTGTTATCTTCTATCTATGAAATTTTATTATTTAATTACATGGGCATTTACAAGCAAAACTAATTTTCAAAGAAATAGTTACATTTCCATACGTTACATACGTTTTTTCCTGTCCTTTTCTTATACATATTTATTTATTACTCAATATTTAATATAAAAAAAACTTAAAAAAACAAGTACCAAATTCAAATTTTCACAAACTTTAAAATGTTACTGATAATTTATTACTCTACTAATATGATATATTATTGCCAAATATTTGTTATACATTTTTTCATAAATTTTAAAATTAAATCGATTAAGCTAAAAAAAACCAACTACATTATAGATATAATTTGACGTCATATTATGTACTTGTATACATGTAAATTTAAATTACTTTTATAACAACGTATTAAAACAAATGAATTTGCTCATTAAAAGACTTGTACTCAATTGGGTATGAAACATAAAATATTTATAGTAAAAAAATTAAAGTAATTGTTGAATACAATATGTACTTAAATCTATATTTTAAATTTGTGGTTTTCTTTATTAGTGTTAAATTTATAAGTACTGATAGTAAAATTGATCAGTTAAACGCCCTGATTCAGCATGAAGGATGGAAATTCCATCAAGGGCTAAAATATCCAAAATGTGATAGACCTGATGACATTGACATCGTTGAGTTATTCTCGAGTACTATCACAGAAGAAAATTTGAATAATAAATTACGGCAATTTCATTTTTTACTTAGTAGTCGCTATGCATTATTACTGTTAGAAATATATTTTTATTTAAATGATATTTGGATAATTTACGAAGAAAACAAAAATGAAATCGATTCAGAATTCTTTAAAACCGAATTCTTTTACGCACATCTTGAAAACAAAATAGAAATTTATTCCGAATACTTTAAAACCGAATTCTTTAATGCGCTTTTAAAATGCAAACAAGTATTGTTAGATATGCAAAAATCTTTGTACTATTTCAAAGAATTAAAAACTCCCAACCAATCGTCTTTGTATAAAACTGATTTTACAAAAAATGGTGTCCAAGAAACTATTTCAATTATTCTGAGGTTAATAGAAAATAAGAATCACAGTATCAGCTGCATCAACAATGAACTAGACATTGCATACGAATTATTAAACGAATTTCTTAAGAAAAATTTTAAACTTATACCGCCAACATATAATGAAAGAAAAATTGAAAATACCAAATCATTACTTGATGTTTTACACAAAAATACTAAAAGTATCCTATCTAAAATTCAAAAAATTATAATTATGATCACAACAACTGTTGATTCTATGAAAACCATAATAATTGCATATGGATTTAAACTTGAAAATAACGATCCTCCAGATTCCTTTGAAGAATTGTAATAATTTAAGTCGTAAAATTTAGAAGATTAAAATTATTTTATAAGAAAAAAATAACTATAATTTTATAAGTAAGAATTCTCCATTATACACCATGAAATAAATGTTTTATAAGTATTTAAAAATATAAATTTAAAATCTGATTATTTTTAGAATCTAATACTAAATCGTATATATACATTTAATTCGATATATTCATTTTATAATTAAAAACTATAAATCAAATGTAAACTATTACAATTTCTGTTTTTTTAAATGAAATTTGTGATTGTTACCCTATGGAATACAGAAGTTGACCAATTTGTTTTAGATAAAATACGTTTTTTTTTTATGTTGAAAGAACCCGTTCTAATAATTTCAAGAAAATAAATGAAAATGTTAACTTATTTAATACAAGTTTTTAATTACTTAAAAATTAATAAATATATTTAATTAATTAAATATAATATAATTATTATTATTATTATTATAGTATAATATAATTCATTACTTGTTATAAAAATTATAATCAATAAAAATTGTTCTCAAAAAATAATTAAACTCCTTTTTTACTTTAACATGAAAATATAACCTAATAAAAAAGCAAAAATTAATATTGAAATTGAATTTTAATAAATGTAAAAAAACTATTGTTTGATAATTTCACAATTATTAGGTGTTTAATTATTATTTTTTAATTAAAAATTAAATTAAACAGGAACTTTAAATGTAATATCTATGTAATTTGAATATTATCTTATTTTACAACAAAAATTAATTTTTGGTTCAGNTAATTTGAATATTATCTTATTTTACAACAAAAATTAATTTTTGGTTCAGTTGTAAGGACATAAAGCAAAAAAAAATAATATCAATAATTTTGGCACGCATGCGATATAAATGTTTAATTGAGTATTGCAAATAATAAATTGTTCACAGTTAAATTTTACATACCAAAAATGTAAGTAACTCGTGATAGGCATTATCACATGCATTATCACAACAGTTGGTATGATGGGCGCGGTCAATTGCGAATAATGCCTAAATATATTAAATTATTGTAACAGGAATTCCGGAGACATGAGTAATTTATTTGTAAGTCATTTGGATAATGTACATTAAATAAATCGACAGAAACAATCAAATGATCCCAGAGGCTCATAGGTAAAACTAATATTTCCGTAGTTGCCTATGGTGTCCTATCAGCAGCAGCGTTGTTAAAAAATTATTTAAAAAAAAATCTGTTTAAAACATAAATAAACATTTTAAAACTTTGAAAATGTCGCATAAGACCAATGTAATTTCTGACATTTTTGGTATTTTAAATACGTTTAAAACCTTGTTTTAAACAAACAGTATTTAAAATATAACAACCTTAATCAGCGGTCGATTTTTTATGAGTTTCAATTAATTAAAGGCGACAAACATACATCACAGTCATTTCGTATTATTAGTCCTTATCATCAACAAACCGCTGATGATACAAGTACAACTTGTGTACAACAAATAGGACACATAATATTGAAGATTGGCGTGTTCAGTAGACTTGGTAGTACCACATCAAAAACGTCTCAATATTCTTTAAACGTTCTCTGTGACAATCGGTTATGCCACCTTTTCTACTGACATTACAAAATAGAAATCCTCAAAAAAATTACAATTATAAAAATCGGTAATTTTTGACATCTTTTCAACTTTTAGCTTCATAGAAAAGCTGAAAAGACATTCATTTTACCATTGTATGTATATTGATTAATTTTTTTTTTTTTTTAATTTTTTCTTTTGACTGTCACTACTTTTTCTCAATTCTCACTTAATCAATTTTCCTCAACAATACGTTAAAAGATTACAAATCGTATCTAGTTGAAGACGTTATACACAAAAATTGAAAAAAATTCCATTGTTCCCCGTAAATAGGAAAAATCCC